AATTAACCTTAGTATGAAAGGCATGCTTTTATTTCATGTATGGTTTGAGGCACAAATAAGCTTGTTGGGATAGTCTTAAAAGCAAGGCCTTCTAGAAAATTAGGTCAAAATTGGTGTGTTTGAATCACTTTCCTGCCTCCTCTCTCTTCATTTTTGACACAAAACGGATGTGTTCGCTTATTTTCTCACTTGTCCTTGCTTAATATTTCTAACACTTCTTCTGAACTGAGAGATGAACCAAGAGCCTGGCTCACATGTTGCATTAAAGCACAATGTATTTTCAATGCTTTTAATGTAGTGCCGTTTTTAATCCCAAATTGTTCAGTCGTTGGTGAGTGGGCGGCCTTAGAAACTGAAATTATAAATATACTTTGCAAACCGGGGCTTATGGATTTGTAAATTGGGTAAGCCCTGTCAGTTTTATTCCCTTAGTAAACTATGGTCAAATGAACTGTGGCTTGTGTGTTATGAAGGTCAAACCTACATCCTTTAGTTAGAAGTGTTGTTGAAGCTGTTTAAAGTTAAATTAACAATATTATCAGCACTTTTGACTGTTTGGAGAGATGAGGGTGGTAAAACTAATTACTTTATAAAGTACCTATGACATTAATACAATACCTAGATAATTTGATGTGAGAATGTTATTCACTTCCAATATTGTTTTTTTGCAATTGTTGATTTATGCTATTGTTTTTGCATTTTGACGGATAGATCTTGGTTAAAACAATCACAATTTCTGTTAACAACTGTAAAAAAAAATAGATTGCCAGTATCTTAAAAACAGTTCACCAATAGATCTGTTGAAATATTTAATTGGATTATGGAAGTCCGTCATCAAAGCTGGTGAGGCAGAGAAATAGCAATTGTTTGAAGTTCTGCATCTTTATAAGTCATATAAGGCTTGTATAACTTTAGTTTTTAGTTCTTTACATATTGGATCTTATGCAGCCAAACCGAGCAGGATTGGATCCCACAGATTAGGAACAAAGCAGGATTTCCCAGATTTTATCTCAATGTCTCCAATTGTTAGGGTGCACAAAACAAGTTCTCTTGAATTGTACCTACCTGCCATCATCCATAGATAACACCAAGTTCAACAGGAGGGAGGAGGGAGGGAGGGAGGGAAGGAAGGAGAGAGAGGAGGGGGGTGAGAGAGAATGAGAATTGGCCAAATGAGAAAAATGTTATTTGGAATTATGTTTCTGACATGACATTGCTTGCAAAAAACACCCTTTTTATTGCAAGCAGATAGATGGAAGAGAACATGCTAACTGGATAATCTGAGGCACCACATCTCTTTTCTTAAATCTTGGATGGCAACAGCACTCCCACAGAAGGGTCAATCAAAAGGTAACAGGGTGCCCTCAACAACAGTCTAAAAACATTACCCTTTTTCTATGGAAGAAGTAAAAACAAAATAAAGCAAAATCAGAACTAAGCTTCCTCCAAGCATACCCAATTTGTGGCAGTGTTGCATTATAGGCTAAGTGCTAAGTGTTTAACAACCGTTCTTCTGCATCATGTTTTCAGTGAGAGCACAGAACTGAATTTAACAGAGGCTGCAATGGAGAACTAGAGGGTTGTAGGAAGCTGGAAAGAATTGCTCTGTACAGGCTTGGTCTGGATGTCCCTTTGTTGATTTGACGAGGAAAGAAAGAAAGCATGTCCATTCAAAACACAGAATGGATGCAGAATAAGCAGAGGCATTTCTTCTAAAATCTAAATATCCTAGAGGCTATCTTCTCTTAGCAGAAAGCTAGGCCGGAGTTCAGTGCAATCTCAAACCAAATGAATGCCAAGTGACCTGACTCTATACAATACTGTTGTTGGGTTGAAGATTAGATCTATTAAAAAATAAAATCACATTTCTTCCAAGGCTTCGCTTTCGTTGCATAGCTTAGATTCTTCCCCACTTCCCCACCCTACTTCTGATTCAATAATTGTGCATTATTTGGGCAGAAGATATTCTGTGGGACAGGATATCTTCTGCCTTCATATTATCTCCTTCCTAGAATATCTGCAGAACTAAAATCAAATTGATATTATCATTGAGTTTTTTTTAGTATGTCCTCTCCTGTTCCTATTTTGCCAAAATATACTGCTACAAATCTACACGGTGACAAGCTATTCTTGGGAAAAGTTTGATAATTTACGTTCTGTGAACAGCCATTATACAGACTCACCAAAATGATCAGCCCAGCTAATTCCTGGGGTGTTTTTTTTTCTTAGCTGGAAATGTAACCAAGCTGTTGGACTGCTTTGTTTAGTGAAATGAACCCAGGAGTTTTTATTTCTAAAAGGAGGAGGACGCATTTCTCCTACAGAGAACAGTCCCCTCTTTTGAATTATCCTACTTCAGGCTTGTTAAAGAGTCACCCTCAAACACACTGGAACCAGAAGTGATGCATTTCTACAGAAATTCAAACTCACAAACATTATTTCTAAGATCCAGGGGCTTTTTTTCAACAATGAAATGTGTGGGTGGACAGGGGACAAAATACTAATCAGTAGCAGGTCTTGTGAAGTTCTTCAGAATAATAGGCCCCTAGGAACCACCCACAGCACTTTGGATAAACCTCAAAGCCGCTCCGTGGTTGATTTTAGGTGCTTTAGAAAGAAATAAATTATGTAAAAACAGAGAAGCACTTACTGGCAGTTGAGCCCTCAACTCTTTAGCTCTTTTCCTTTAAGGGAAAAAAAATTTAAGCACTAGAACAACAAATATACTGTTAATTATACTGATTGCTTAAAGGAAGCTGGTCTAACATTGGGTGCTGTTTGGGACCCTGGCATTCATCTGTGCATCCAGGAAACCTATAAGGGCCATGGAATATAATGGATGGAATACATGAGTTAGGACCTACAGAGAATGGCTATAATGTTAAAAACTCATTTCTTGCAGAAAAAAAAACATATTTAAAAATCCAGACAGTGCAAAATCACCCAGGCCTACTTTCTACAACCAACATACTGGTGTTCCTTTCCTCAGAAATTGGATTGCAGAGGAATGGTTACTATTGAACAAAATGCATTATCTGTTTCCAGTGGCAGCTGATGCTACCATCTTCTGAAGCAAGTGCAGGCCCACATCAAAGGCGCTTTCGTCTTGCACATGTGAGACTGGGATTCCAGCCCTGCCCATCACATCACAGCTGAACGTTTGCCTGCTTCAATCATTGCATTTGTGGCATGGCAGTTGCTGCCCTCAGGGCATGGAATACACCAGAAAGCATGTAGCAGAATGGCTGCTCTCTGCCAAGGTAATGGTTCTTGGGTATTGCCTTGCCATTATGGCCACAGCACTCTGTCTCTTGTGAATGGATTGCCAAGCTCTTGTCTAGGTCACTTCCCAAAGTTCATACGCTATAAAGCCTTCTATAATGGTGAGCACTTAACTATGTTTCCCAAAAGGGGATGAAATGCTTCCCCACTGCGAAAATCGGAGCAATCCAAGGACCAATATTCTCTCTACTTCAACCACCAGGAGATTCAACATCTGTTCCAATAAGCCAGGGTTGTCAAACGCCCGGCCCATGGGCCGGTTGCGTCACGTGCTGACCACACCCAGTTTAGCAAAGGGGAAAAAAGTCCTGATACATCTTGTGACACCGCCGTGACGACATGAGTTTGACACCCCTGCTGTAAGCCATAAGAGGTGATTCCACAGTTCATTGTCTCTCTCATCATGCACGTATAGCCAACAAGATGGCCCTGGCTTCATCTGCTAGCAGAATTCAGGAATGATGCTGTTAATACACTAAAAATAAACCATGGCTATGTTCTCTCATTTCTTATTGGAAACCTACTTTTGCATGTCATGGTAAGGTTGGTGAATCAAACCATAGATGGCCCACACACAGAGACAGACCTAGTGAATGCATTTGTTTCTAAGCCAGTCTTATGTTTTAATGGGATATTTTGTGCAGTTTCAGTATTTCACTCAGTCACATACTAAAATGATACAGGTAACAACCAACATGTTTCCAACATGTAACCCACATTTCCTACATCCATTTTGCTTTCTGGTTCCATACGTGACATCCTCATTTTATTTTTTTCTTTTCTTCAATTGTCTTTTAGCTCGCTGGAAAATGAAAAGATCACCCCTGAAAAAGCAAATCTTTTTGTCAATTCTGGGCCCAGCTGTCACAGAGTGACACATCTTCTGTGAAATTAGACTCTGCCGTTGTTATATGGGCTTTGTTGTCAGAATTATATTTCCCTCAGGGAAACTGAGCCCCCAAACAGGATGTATTCTATCCATGGACACACACACCCCTTTTTCAGGGCAACTATTTTAGTTTCTGAGAAGCCTGTTTGCAGATTCAACTCCCTTAAAATGTGTTTTTAATATTTTGACGCGGTGGGGGCTTTTGTTATAAATGGACAAATGGAAATGTACCGTCTCCTTATTTCCTTTTTTGTGTATAGCTGTTTCTTATTATGTACACAGCAGAGAGTTCTTACGTAAGGGCACAAGGGTGGAACTAGTTAAAAGGTCCCTAAAAGGATCTAGCCTGTCCAGCTACAGGAGGGAGACTTTTCCTTGTTTGATTTTTTTTTTTAAAAAAAAAAATAGTTATAAAGAAGATAATCACAATGGCCACATGCATGCATGCATACATACATACATATGGAAATTGCTCTGCCCTAGGAAGAAAATTACCATTGGCCTTAATAGCAGTTTTCTTTCTGGGGCAAATAGCAGCTGGGGGGAGGGAGGCTAATTTTGTTGGGACCGCTCTATACAAAAAGGGCTCTTAAAACCTCTGTCATGAGGTCCTGATTACCCCATCCCCTGTTGATAAAAATACCAGAAATGCATAAAATACAATTATGCACTTCATATAATCATAGGTGGGGAAATGAGGACAATGGGGCCATGAGCTCAGAAAGCTTCTTGGCTAGAGCATTTGGAGAGGGGGTGGGGAGGGGGAGAAAGAGAGGAAGGGAGGGGGAGAAGGAGAGGGAGGGAGGGGAGAAGGAGAGGGAGGGAGGGAGGGAAAAAGGAGAGGGAGAGGAGGGGGAGGAGAGAGACACAGAAGGAAAGAGCTGCAGTTTTCTGGGGTTCTGTGATCTCTAAATCACAAAACACAAGCAAAACCACAGCATGAAGAACCTGGAAGTGTGTCCCCCACCACCACTCTTTCGTACTGGCCAGGCTTCGTGGGCCATCATAGAAACGCTGGTACAAGTGTCGCCTTCCGGACTGGCTCCTTTCCACAGACTTGCCTGATTCTCCAATGTCCCCCTCCCACCCCTTGGCTCCCGAGGACCAAACCCACAATTTAGATCACGCTCAAACGACACTGATTGCAGATTGTCTAGGGACTGTTGCTGCCCAGCACACTTGCATTTGGGTTCCCTAAAAGCTGGAGAGTGGGGAGACAAGACACAGAAACAAACACACACACACACACACACACACACACACACACACACACACAGAGGAGGTGGTTTCAAGGAAGCCAGCGAGAAGTTGTCACCATTTCACCCAGCTGCATCTATTTCTGAAAAGGGGAGGAGGAATACCTTCAACCAAGCTCTCCTTTTCTTCCCCCCCCCTCCCCACCCCAAGCAACAAATGAATCCATTAAGGATACAAGGAAATGCTACCAGCAGCTGCTGGTTGCCGTGGTGACACAGTGCGTAATGCTGCTTTCGCTAGGCTTCCCCCACATAAATATCAAAAGCACCAACCTGGAGCTAAAGGGAAGGACTTACACCCACGTTCCCGCTTCGATTCCCTCTCTGCCCCCTCCCCAAAAGCAAGCCCACACATGCCAATCCCTTTTTTTTTTTTTAACAACCTTGCCGTTTTACAAACAAGCCCCCAAAAGAACAAGCAGGGATAACAAGAGACCCTTCTAGCACCGGATGCAAAAGTCTGGCAGTAGCATCGGGTTTGTGCCAAGGATGAAGGCCACGATGTTCTCCTTCTCCTCCTCCTCACTTGCTGCCACTATCAAAAATGCATGTTCCCCGGAGAGATGTTGAACATGGAAGGATCAAACTTCTGCCCTCGGAATGGAGAGCCTTCGGCATCCCAGCCCTTCTTCAGCATCTCGTGGACTTTCTGAAAACAGGGCGGAGACAAAAGCTCGAGAGATGAATTTATCCTTGCAAGGGCAGCCCAATGCGCAATAAACAAACAAACAAATGCGCAATAAAGCGCCCCAGTGCCCAACAGTGCGCCATCGTGCCTACCATCCCTGTCCTAACTGTCCCCATTTATTCGTACCCATTTCATTCATACTCATGATTATTTTTATACCTATTATTTTGTAAACGATTGACAAAATCAAACAAATAAATAAATAATGCCCATACTTAAAATCAGGGCTGTCCGGAGAATTAGGGGAGTTGAAATCCACAGGTCTTAAAAGTTGCCAACGTTGGACACCCCTGGTTTAAATTATAGGTCAGGCATTTTTGAAGGGATTGCAATTAGATATCTAAAATATTTGAGGAAACCAAATCAATTCAAGCCAATGTCAGCCCACATTGAAGATGCTTTTAGCAATAGCAATAGCAGTTATTTCAGCCCTCTCTTAAGCGGTTTACCAAGTCAGCATATTGCCCCCAACAATCCGGGTCCTCATTTTACCCACCTCGGAAGGATGGAAGGCTGAGTCAACCTTGAGCCGGTGAGATTT